TCCATACGTAGTGCATCTTCGAAATTTTGACCAATTCTGAAGTCTCGAAGTCGGTTACTTACAAGCTTCTCAACGTCTTCCGTGCACATGGATGGTCGGTCACGTTGATGACCTTCACGATTTGGGCGACGTTGATTGACTTCCTCGTTGGTTCGCAAGGGTCGACCTTCTCGATTGCGCTGCCTAGGCTGCGTGTTGGTGGACTGCGCTTGCGAGGGATTCTCTGTAGCTTGGGGACGAGAATTGGTTCTTCGAGAGTGAGCAGTGAAGCGCCTTTCTTCACAGTCCTCATTATGAGGGTTATTTGGTTGACATTTCTATATGAGCGAGCAGTAGAGCGCCTTTCTTCACGATTGTCATTGTGATGGCCGTCAGGTTGACCTCCCTTAGAGCTTAGCCTTTTCTGAACGTTTCCCTATGGGCCCAACCTTTCGCGCCCGTTGGTCCTTAAATTTAGTCTGGATGGGAGACTTTGTCTGCTCTGAGTGTGGCTCGCAGATGGTTGCTACATGTCGGCAAGCTGATCACGTTGTTGTCCATCTCCTTGTCTGCTTACTCCTGCTCGACCTGCTTGGTACCCATCGAATTACATATCGGCACGTTCGTCCATCCTTCTCTCTTCGCCCTGTTGTCCAAGGCCAAGGTTTTAAGCCAAGTTTATTTGGTTGAGGAGTTGCCTCATCAAATTGTATTGGTCGTCAATTCTCTGAGTTAGCTGGTCAGCTCTCAGATTAAGGTTTACTTGACTTCGTGGATCGGGAGGAGAAAAGTGTGTGGAGCCCAATTGCACACGAGCTAGGGTTTCATTAGGGGTGTGAGCAAGACCGTGAATTGATCACGGGGGCAATGGAGGGAATGACTGAAGTTTCTCCAAGATTGGGCCAAAGTCGGCGGTGGTATTGAGCCCACCCTGATGGGAGGTTCCACCATGCTTGGCGGCGGTGCTATGAAGGTAATCCAACCACGGGGCCTTGAGATGGTATGACAACGATAGAGGCCGTTGCGGTGGTCCTAGCTATGGGTCCAGTAGGTGGCACGGTGGTTTGTGGTGTGGCAGCAAGGGTTTGCTATGGGTTCATGGCGGCTAGATGTGGTGGTGCCACCTATGGGGGACTATTTCGTTCCGGCAACTTCAAATGGGTTGGACTGCCGTAAGGAGCAAATGGGTAAAATTACCCCCTGTGTCTGAGTTCAAGAATCAGACCCCAAGAATGCTTCGAAAGGGTAGCGGAGCCTTAGGAAGCACCTTGGTTATCTTCACCAACAAAAGCTTGACGAAAGCTTCATCAAGCTGCTGGGTGGCTTGACAGAAGAGACAAACGAAAGCAATGGAAGAACATGGCTTGAAATTGAAGGGTTCCAGAGATGAGAGGTAATGCTTGCTCTCTCTGGATGTGTTTATGGGAAAGAAAGGAAGAAGATGGAACCATGGAGCATTAAATTGAAGCTTCCAGCAAAGAGTGAGAATGCTTGCTCGCTCTGGAAGAGTTGTGGGAGAGAGAGGAAAAAGATGGAAGAGCATGAAATTGAAGGGTTCCAGATGGGATGCTTGCCTCTGATGAGTTGTTTTTGCTGGGTAGAAAGTGCCTCCTTTTATAGGCACTGGAACCCTCAATTTTATCAAGCTACCCTCTCCCCTTTTCCTTCACTTTCTTCCATTCCTTCTTATTTGGTGAAACTTTCCCAGCTTGAGCATGTAGGCATGAAGCTTTTTGGAGTTCCAAGACTTTCACGCAGCTGGACTTCTCCATGGGGGTGAGGCGCCACCCACTTTTCCTTCTTGTTTTCTCACCAAAGCTTGCAGAGAAAAGAATGGGCAAGGGTGGGCAAGGGTGCTGGTCAAAAGGTGATTTACTTCCATCAGCACATGGGTTTGCTTGGTTTTGGTGGTTTGGCTTCGATTTGGTTTTAACAAAGATGTTGGATATTTTATAAGGTGTTGGGCCGGGTTGTTTTGTTTCCAGCAGCTTATGAGTTTGCTGTCAAGCTGCTAGAAGTTTTGGCTGATGTGGGATTTTTTTCAAGTGTTGTGGGCTTTTTCTTAAGGTGATGGGCTATTGGGTTTTCTCTCTCATGCTTACCCATATGTGTTTGTGCCTGATAAATCACGGCCACGAGCTGGCCGAAGGAGCCCTTTCTTTCGGCCCTGGCACTTGTTCGCAGAGGCTGAAACGCAGCGTTTCGCCAGGGCATATTCGCCTTCCTTAAAGAATAAAAGAAGAAATGCTAAGGCATGATCATCTCGGCCTCAAGCATAGGCCGAGGCCGAGGCCGAACAAAATTGCGGCCAAGACATTAAAGGAAAATCATCACGTGACAGCAGGGTCCCAGGCTTCATTTAATGAAGTAGTGCCTGTTTAATGCAGCAAAACCCATTGGCCACAAAGTAGCATTTAATGCATGAGGGAAGGTGGGAAGTGACTGAAGTCATGA